CTTCGGTGTCGGCCTCCAGCGATTAGGGGAGTCGTGGGGCGTCGCCTGTGGCGCCGGCCAAGCGCATCGCCGGTGGCCGACGTGACGCTCAGGCAGTCGCGGAGAAGAGGACCGCGGAGGAGACCGCGAAGGCCACCGCGAAGGAGCCCGCGGAGGAAACCGCGGAGGAGACCGCGGAGGAGATCGCGGGGGAGACCGCGAAGGAGCCCGCGGAGGAAACCGCGGAGGAGACCACGAAGCCAACCGCGGAGCAGTTGGCAGGGGAGCTTTCGAATGGGAAGCGCATTTCAGAGAAGCCGTCGACAGGGGAGCAGTTCGATGAAGGCACATCGAGCGACGTGGTGGAGGTGCAGCCCGAACCTCGGAAGTCGGGCCGAATTCGGAGGCCACCCGACTTCTTCGTCCCCGCTGCCTTCACCACGGTGTACGATGTGGACGACGACGACCTGGCGTACGATGACGCCGAGGACGATGAGGAGCTTTCGGAGCTCGAACCCGACATGCACGCCGATCCAGAGCACCGTTGGGACATTTCGACCATGACGGTGAAGGAGGCGTTGGCGAGCTGGAAGGGCCCGGCGGTGAAGGCCGCCATGGAGGAAGAGATTCGTAGCCTCATCAACATGGGCACTTGGGAGCTGGTCGAACGCCCGCCGGGGGTGAACATAATGAAGAACCGGTGGGTGCTGACAACGAAGTACCGCATCGACGACACCGTCGAGCGCGAAAAGGCGAGGCTGGTCGTGAAAGGCTTCACGCAGGTGTATGGCGCTGACTACGACGAGACGTACGCGCCAGTGAGCAGCTACGTCACACTGAGGATTTTCCTCAGCATCGTTGCCGTCCTCGACCTCAACCTGATGCAGCTGGACATGAAGAACGCTTTTTTGCAGAGCAAGCTCGACCGCGTGCTGTACATGTACCAGCCGGACTACTTCAACGACGGGACCGGCCGGGTGTGCAAGCTACTGAAGAGCCTCTATGGGCTGAAGCAGTCGCCGCTGCTGTGGTACACGGCTCTCAACGACGTGTTGGTTGGCGCCGGGTGGAAGAAGAGCCAAGTCGACGAGGCTTTGTACTTCAAGGCCGGAGATGACAAGGTGACCTGCTGGGTGCTGGTCTACGTCGACGACCTTCTCGCCGCGAGCAGCAGCACTGCGATGCTGAAGGAGCTGCTGGAGGCCGCTTTCGAGCTGCGCGAAATTTCGCCGGTGCAGAAGTATCTCCGCCTGGAGATCGTGTGCGACAGGCCGGCGCAAAAACTGTGGCTGCACCAGCAGGGCTACGCCGACAAGCTGCGCAGGCGCTTCATCGACGAGGAACAGACCGGGCGCACTCCGAAGACGCCGGTCTCCGTCGCTGCCTTCGCGGAGCAGACATTCGAGGACGAGGAGGCGCAGGAGTGCGAGGAGGAGGACTACCGGCAGAAGGTCGGCTCGCTGCAGTTCGCGGCGACGACGACGAGGCCGGACATCGCATTCGCGTGCGGCAAGCTGGGGAGCGGCCTCACGGTGAGGAGCGACCAGCACTGGCGCGAAGTCGACCGCTGCCTCGCCTACCTCGCCAACACGCGAGACACCGCCCTGGAGTACGGCGGTGGTCCGGAGTCACTGGAGTTGGTCGGCTTCGTGGACGCCGACGACGCGAGCGACAAGCAGAACCGGATGAGCACGGGCGGCTACGTGTTCGTCTACGGAGGGGCCGCGGTCTCCTGGTCGAGCCAGCGCATCAAGTGCGCGACGTTGTCGTCGACCGAGTCGGAGTACGTGGCGGCCGTCGAAGCCGGCAAGGAGGGACGTCGCCTTCGCTTCCTCCTCGCGGAGTTCCAGCGGCTGGACGCCGGAAAGCCGACTGTCCTCAGGGTGGACAACAAGTCGGCCATCACGGTCGGCGAGGGCATGGGGTTGACTGGCAACCTCAAGCACATGGAACGGCGACAGGCCTGGCTGCAGCACATGGTGAAACGCGGGAAGTTTTCGCTGAAGTACATCCCGACCGCTGAGCAGCCGGCCGACTTCCTGACGAAGGCGCTGCACTACCCGGCCTTCAACCGGTGCTCCGTTGCAATCGGCCAAGTGCGCCTGGCCGATGTGGGCGACGATGACAACGACGTGCAGCAGTAGGTGCCATGCCCTTTTGCATGGCTGGTGCGGTGACCGGCGTGCTGTGCGTTGTGTGCACGCCGACGGGCTATTCTCCGAGCAGTACTGCCGTGTGGGCCGGGGGGGGGGCCCAAGCGTGAACGCGGCAGGGGAGTGTCAACGGGAGTAGTGTTTGGCACCGTCCTCGCTTGGGCGGAGCCAACCGCGGGGGCCATGAAATCGTGGGCGGACCACGGGGGCCGCGAAACCGTCGGCGGACCACGGGGGCCACGAAATCGTGGGCGGACCACGGGGGCCGCGAAACCGTGGGCGGACCACGGGGGCCACGAAATCGTGGGCGGACCACGGGGGCCGCGAAACCGTGGGCAGACCACGGGGGCCACGAAATCGTGGGCGGACCACGGGGGCCGCGAAACCGTGGGCGGACCACGGGGGCCGCGAAACCGCGGGAGGACCACGGGGACCGCGAAATACCCTGTCAACCAGGATACCCGGGCGATGTGCACGAAAGTCGCGAGGGTGTTTTCTGCGAGGACGACCTCGGGGGTGGTATCCCGAGGTCGACGTGGCTGGTGGGCGCCGTCACGGGTGGAGTGTCTGCGCTGGACATGTGACGGGGAGTTGGGCGCCAACCAGTTGCATGCACCTGCGAAGCTGGTGCACCATTGTCAGGCGGGTGCAACGCTGTGCAGCCGAATTACTGCAGCGTTGGCACACCGCGGACTTGCAACGTTGGCAAGCCGCGACTCTGCTCTGCTGGAGCGCGGTCGACCGTGCTGCGCTGGCAGTCGACCAGCAGCCTTGCTAGGTCTGATGTAGTCTGTGTTGCCAATGTTGATGCAATCATTCTGAACTTTTGTTGTCATGTTTTCCTAGTGAAACTCTTGCCAATTTTCCCCGTGAACTAGCAAGTAGTGTTAGCACTTGGAAACGACTAAGGAAGGAACGAACGCAGAGATCACACGAGCATCCGTGCCTAGCCCGTAGTCTAGCTCCCATTGCAATAGTTATCTCCGCAGACCCCGCTGGGCTCGGTGAACCCAGCCGGCCAACGGACCCCGTCCGGACCTCCCAGTAGGTGGGGGGGTATCGGATGCCAAACCGGTCCTCTTTTCCTCTCCCTAGAAGGCCACGAAACGGAAACATGGAGTCGAGGGTGTGGCAACCCTCGGTCTCCGCCCTCCAAAGTAGCGCGCACAGACTGGGCGAGGGGCGGACGGGGCTCGTACTAAAAATGCTCGGACCGGGGAAGAACCGGGCAAACCCCCAAACGATGGCTTCAAGTCAGGCGAGACTACTCGCTGAATTTAAGCATATTATTAAGCGGGGGAAAAGAAAACAACCGTGATTCCTTTGGTAGCGGCGAGCGACCAAGGAAAAGCCCAGGCTTGAAATCCGAGGGCCTCCGGCCCTCCGAATTGTAGTCTGAAAAGGAAGCGTTCTCTGTGACGGGCGCCGCCTTAAGTCCACTGGAAAGTGGCGGCCGAGAGGGTGACACCCCCGTCGGGCGACGACCCGTCACTTCACGAGGCGCATCCGAAGAGTCGGGTTGCTTGGGAGTGCAGCCCCAACATGGGTGGTAAGCTCCATCCAAGGCTAAATACGGCCAGGTTTCTGATAGCGAACAAGTACCGCGAGGGAAAGATGAAAAGAACTTTGGAAAGAGAATGAAAAGTGCTTGAAAACGTCAGGAGGATAAGCGCATGAGCCCAAGCAAACCTGCGGGACCCGTTCACGCGGGGCCCGGAGGTACGCAGCGCCGGTCGATGCCGCGGGAAAAGGAGCTCGCTCCCACCGCGGCAGAGACCGAGGATGGCCCTCACGGGTCGGCGCTGGCGAACCGGGCTGATGCGACCCGTCTTGAAACACGGACCAAGGAGGCCAACGCGGCTGCGAGCCAATGGGTTGAAAACCACAATGGCGACAGTGAAAGCGACCCGTGAGAAGGCGGCCTCGTGCTGCCCGCACCACGGACCGCCCCGGGGGCCTCGGCGCCCGGGGTGCGTTGAGTAGTCGCGTTGGGACCCGAAAGATGGTGAACTATGCCTGAGCAGGGCGAAGCCAGAGGAAACTCTGGTGGAGGCCCGCAGCGCTACTGACGTGCAAATCGTTCGTCAGACTTGCGTATAGGGGCGAAAGACTAATCGAACCATCTGGTAGCTGGTTCCCTCCGAAGTTTCCCTCAGGATAGCTGGTGCTCGATACGTGGTTACGTCTAGTAAAGCGAATGATTGGCGGGCTCGGGGGAGAAGCTCCCTCGACCGACTCTCAAACTTTAAACGGGCGAGGAGGGCCGCCATCTTAATTGTGGCTGGCTTTCAGGGGTGCTGGCTGTTACGATAAGAATGAATTGATAGAAAATGTGAAGTACAACCCTAGATATAGCAAACCCTAATCATGCAAGTAAGTAGAAATGTAACACCTAGACTCACCTAAACAACACATACAAAATAGATGTTGACACTGGCTGACCCCACCAACATGAGTGCCAAGTGGGCCATTTTTGGTAAGCAGAACTGGCGAGGCGGGATGAACCGAAAGCCGGGTTACGGTGCCTAACTACGCGCTAACCTAGATCCCACAAAGGGTGTTGATTGATTAAGACAGCAAGACGGTGGTCATGGAAGTCGAAATCCGCTAAGGAGTGTGTAACAACTCACCTGCCGAATCAATTAGCCCCGGAAATGGATGGCGCTCAAGCGCGTGACCTATACCCGGCCGCACCCGGCTGCTGGTGAGCCGGTGCGAGTAGGAGGGCGCGGTGGGACACATCGAAGCGTGCGCGTGAGCGCGCGTGAAGCTCCCGATCGCTGCAGATCTTAGTGGTAGTAGCAAATATTCAAATGAGAACTCTGAAGACTGAGGTGGAGAAATGTTCCATGTGAACAGCAGTTGCACATGGGTTAGTCGATCCTAAGAGATGGGGTAACTCCTTGAGAACGGCGCGGTTCTCCCCGCGCCGCCCATCGAAAGGGAATCGGGTCAAAATTCCCGAACCGGGGACGTGGCAGCTGTGGGTGTTGTGCACTGGGTATTCTTCATTCTTCTTTGCTACAACAAATCATCGTCATGGGCAAGGTTCATGCTGTGTATCATGATGATCATGCGTGCATTCTAATAATGTGTTTCAAATTCAGAAGAGGAGGAAGCGGAGGGAGAGGACGAAAGCGAGGAGGGAGAGGAGGAAGCGGAGGGAGAGGACGAAAGCGAGGAGGGAGAGGAGGAAGCGGAGGGAGAGGACGAAAGCGAGGAGGGAGAGGAGGAAGCCGAGGGAGAGGACGAAAGCGAGGAGGGAGAGGAGGAAGCAGAGGGAGAGGACGAAAGCGAGGAGGGAGAGGAGGAAGCGGAGGGAGAGGATGAAAGCGAGGAGGGAGAGGAGGAAGCGGAGGGAGAGGACGAAAGCGAGGAGGGAGAGGAGGAAGCGGAGGGAGAGGACGAAAGCGAGGAGGGAGAGGAGGAAGCGGAGGGAGAGGACGAAAGCGAGGAGGGAGAGGAGGAAGCGGAGGGAGAGGACGAAAGCGAGGAGGGAGAGGAGGAAGCGGAGGGAGAGGACGAAAGCGAGGAGGGAGAGGAGGAAGCGGAGGGAGAGGACGAAAGCGAGGAGGGAGAGGAGGAAGCGGAGGGAGAGGACAAAAGCGAGGAGGGAGAGGAGGAAGCGGAGGGAGAGGACGAAAGCGAGGAGGGAGAGGACGAAAGCGAGGAGGGAGAGGAGGAAGCGGAGGGAGAGGACGAAAGCGAGGAGGGAGAGGCGGAAGCGGAGGGAGAGGACGAAAACGAGGAGGGAGAGGCGGAAGCAGAGGGACAAAACGCGTGAGCCCCCGGTGGGAGACGTGCCCCCTGGGGTACCCCATCACCTCCAGAGAGGCGAGCAGGTCGTTCTCTATCCAGGGCAGCGTTGTGTAGCGCAGCGATGTGCGCACTACAGGGCATCTCTTGGTGCGTGTTTGACGGACTATGCCTAACACATGTTTTTTTCATGGAGCAGTGCTTACGGCTTGAGGAATGATTTCAATGCCGTTGAGCCAGTGCCTGTGCAAGCCCACCGCAACCATTTCGGCTCGAACAAAGAAGCAATCGCCCACATGCACACCTGCACAACAACGGAGAGTCATCAGGATTGAACAGTGGTGCCACCTCTCCTTTTATGTTTAGGGATTCTAGAGTCAAGCAAAAAGTCGAGGCTCGGTTTCAACTCGAATCGATTTGAGCCGGAGACGTTGTACAACAGATCTTATGGAATATGAAGCCGTCTTGTAAGTCCTCGTCCCCTAAAACGACGATGACGTCCCCTTCCTTTTGTTTTGAAAATACATTGCGACATGGGAGGGGGACCCTGCGCCGGAAGGGGCGATGCCCGCCCGCCGGAAGGTGTGGCGGAGGGGGCCCGGTTTCTCCATAAGCTCAAAAGTTATGCGAAGGTAGGATAGTTAGTAGACGCAGGAATCGGGGCGCCTGCGCGCCCGCCCGCCCCCTCACCCGAAGGGTCCAAGCGCGGGCGTGTTGCGTGCCCATCTGCCCCTTCGTCCGCCCGCCCGCCCATCCCCGCGCCCGCGCGCCCGCTTGCCCGTCCCCGCGCCCGTTCTCCAGCTGCCCAACTGCCCTGCACTGCATTTGCAGCTGTCTCACTGCCCTTTCCACACTGCCCTCCTCACGGCCACACCTGGGAAGAAAGGGATGAGGTCCCTCCTCTTCATCCCTCTCCTCTGCATGTGTGCATGCATTGTTGCACCAGGTCACAGTGTAGAATGGTCAGGTCGCATGAAGTGCATGACATTGCCTTCAATCGTCATTCGCAATTGCTCTTGATTGCTAAAGTGACTACTATCAAGATCAACTGAAGGCGTCTGGAAGATACTCTACCGCGCCCGCCCATCTGTCCCTTCTTCCGCGCGCCCGCCCGCGAGGTGCGAACTCCCCCACACTAAGGGACTCAAGCCCTGTCAGCCTCCCCACGTGCACCATGCCAGCATTCGTCACACCCTTGCACTCACTAAGCCACAGAACTTCGAGAGAGGAGAGGCCTGTCAAGTGTGACAAACCAACATTGGTCACCTTGGTCTGTCAGAGATGAAGCTGCTTAAGACGGGTCAAGGACCCAATGCCTTCCACGGCACTGTCTGTGACGTCTGTGCATCTGAGATCTAGCGTCCAAGGCTTCCCTCTCGTCTCCCTCAATCCTACACTACACCCCCCTCTCCTCTCTCTATCTTAAAAACCGCGTCATACAATACACCCCCCTCTCCCGGTTCGACCTGGGAAATTATCCCTCATACAATACATCAGAATGCTCGTGCTGCACAGGAAAACCATGTTGAGGTGCTTCAAATACAGGGATCAAGGCTAGCCACGTTGGGAGGAGCACAAGCTCTGCTGCTGCACTGCTACCAGCAGGCCGTCCTACTCAGCCTCGCACTCGCTAAGCTGGCGAATAAGGCAGCCGATGTCGTCCGACAGGGTGCTGGCATCTCAGCATGCAGCTATGAGTTGCTGACTGATGCTGAAGTGGCGGGAAGTAACTCCGATGGTGATGATGACGATGAAAATGGGGAGGAGGAGAAAGCGGAGGAGGAGGAAGAGGATGCCTGCGATGAAGTTTTTGAAAGAGAAGCTTCTTAGAAGGAGTGTGCGGGTAGCAGCTTCGGTAGAGAGGCAGGAGAAGCGGGTGGTTTGCTATCAGGAGGATGTGAGAGCGTGGGATGGGGGTGCGGTGGTGTGTGTGATGCGTTGGCAGCAGCAGCTGAGACGCTAAGAGGAATCGTGGACTGAAGGGGATGGTTTGATTGAGATCAGGCAGCAGGAGTGGGAGACTTGTTATCAGGAGGAGGATGTGAGAGTGTAGTAGGGGGTTGGGGTGGTGTATGTGATGACTTGGCAGCACCACCTGAGACGCTGAGAGGAATCGTGGAGTTAAGGAGATGGTTTTTTTGAGACCCAGGCAGCATGGGTGGGTGGTTTGATATCAGAAGGAGGATGTGAGGGTTTGGGATGGGGGTGGGGTGGTGTTTGTGATGCCTTGGCAGCAGCAGCTGAGACGCTAAGATGAATCGTGGAGTTAAGGGGATGATTTGTTGTATTGGAAGATCAAGCAGCAGGCATGAAGAGGAAAACGTGACAGCGTGGGAGGGGGGTGAGATGATGCTTGTGATGCCTTGGCGGCAACAGCAGAGTTGATGGGAGGAATCGTGTAGTGCAGGAGATGATTTGTTAGAAGTCCAGGTAGCAGGAGTGGGTGGTTTACTGATTACGTTTTCTGAGGCGCCCAAAGCATTGTGGGCAGCCAGCTGAGCTGAGTTGCTAGGTGGTATTATGGAGTTAGGGTCATTCCTGTGTCGACATTTGTGTCTCAATCACATTGTGACACCCAAAAACTGAGAAGAATGAAGAACGAGGATGAATGAACTATGAATGAGGTGAGTACATATGGAAAACCCTAATTGGGTTGTACCCCCTATGGGATACCCCACTATAGCCTACACAACAGCATAAGCTATATAATGTTCTGACACACCCCCATAGGCAAAGTGGGGGAGAACAAGGGGTCACAAGACCAGTCAAGCAAAGCAGAGCAAGCTCAGGGTGGATCACAACGTCACCACACAGTCCGAGCACAACGACAAGGCCACAAGGCCAGTTCACATGCAGGAGTACACATATATATATAGAGCTAGACAAGCAAGAGCAGGTATATATATGTGACAGTACAAGTAAGGTCAAGAGGAGAGCAAGTGAGGCAAGACAGGTACAAGACCCAGCTGAGTGCAGAAGCGCTGATGGTCACAAGGCGCAAGTGCCTTGGTGAACACATCAGCAGTGTTGGCCTGAGAGGCCACGTACGCAAGTCGCAACTGACCACGCTGCTGCAGCTCACGAGCAAGAAAGTAACGGAGAGCAATGTGCTTCGTTCTGTGCTCCAAGCGCTGCTCTCGACACAAGGCCAGCATGGCCTTGTTGTCTACGTACAGCACTGGAGGAGAACGAGGCGGCTCTCCAAGGTCAGTCAGCAGGTAGGTGAGCCAGCGAAGCTCCTGTGCAGCCATGGCCCCGGCGTAGATCTCAGCCTCACAACTGGAGCCGAGAACAGAGGACGAGCGAGTAGCTCGCCACGAGACAGAGCCGGAACCAAGACTGAAGGTGTAACCCTGCGACGACCGCTGCGTAGCCTGGTCGTCAGCCCAAGAAGCGTCCGCGTGCCCAGTGAGGACCACTGGACTCCGCCCTCCAAGCACTAGTCCCATGCCCGACGTACTGCACAAGTATCGCAACACCCTCTTCGCTGCAGCCATGTGCTCTGGTCGGTGTCTCCCAGGAGCAACATAGCGTGCAAGAATGCTAAGAGGGTATGCAAGGTCAGGTCGTGTGCAGGTCATCAGGTACAAGAGGCAGCCAACAAGCTCTGGATACGGGCCACTCGACTCTACTGACTCATCCGAAGGCAGAGCTGAGAGTGAGTGGCGAGTAGGCAGAGGAGTGGCCTGAGGCGAGGAGTACGTGAAGCCGAAGCGCTGAAGGACCTGCTGCACCATGTGTGACTGAGTCAGGGTAATGGTGCGGCGTGCTCTGTCCCGGGTGATCTGCAAGCCAAGGTAGCTGCGCAGTTCACCCAGGTCTGTGCACGTGTGTCTCTTCTGCAGCTCGGACTTCACGTGGGCGAGTCCAGCAGTGTCAGTTGTGGCAAAGACCAAGTCGTCGACGTACACGAGGATGTAGAACGGCGGCAGAGAGGTGTCGGTGCGTAGAAACAGCGACGGGTCGGCAGTAGAAGGAGCAAACCCAAGAGCCGCAAGCGTAGTCCTCAGTGTGTCGTGCCACTCACGTGGCGCCTGGCGGAGACCGTAGACTGGACGCCGGAGACTCCACTGGGTACCAGGAGGGAAAGACCCAGTGAAGCCAAGTGGGCGGCGCAGCCAGATCTCCTCGTGCAGGCTGCCCTGCAAGAAAGCAGTGCTGAAGTCGAGAGAGTGCAGCTCGTAGTCACGGTGAGCAGCAACGTGTAGCAGCACCCGAAGAGTGGTCATCTTCGGGGTGGGGGAGAAGGTCTGAAAGTAGTCAACTCCCTGTCGCTGACTGAAGCCACGAGCCACGTAACGTGCCTTGAAGACAGGCGGAGAACCCGGCGGCCGCTTCACCCTGAAGATCCACATGCCACTGACGATGTTCGCCCCAAGAGGGGGGACAGCGTCAACGTAGGTGCCTGTGGACTTCCAGGAAGCCATCTCTGCATCCATAGCTGCCTGCCACTGAGAGGAGTAGGGACCCTCTATCGCCTCCGCGTAAGAGCGCGGAGTCGGGATGTCAAGTGCATCCGGGTCTCCCTCAGGGGTAAGCAGTACGGACACGAGATGAGGTGAAGTAGCTGCCAGACACTGGAACTCCTCCTGCCTGTCCTCAAGGACGTCCGTGCCAAGGGCACACTCACCCCCGACTGACGGAGGACAGGCAGACCCAGACTCAGCGACAAGACTAGCAGCGTAGTCTAGGCGACAGCGAGCAGCAAAGTCGACGAGCTCAGTAACTAGGGCAGACGCAGCAGTAGACTCGAAGGAAGGGTCAGTGACGACAGTAGCAAGGAGACGCGTGACAGTAGGACTGGCAGCACGAAGAGAGTCCGACGTAGGGTCGGGAAGAGCAGGAAGAGAGGACTCAGGAGGAGAAGGCAAAGGGGCACGCAGAGGAGCAGTAGACGGACGCAGAGACATCCTGTGCGTGCCAGGGACAGGAGGAGGACGCTGACGCGAACCACGACCACTAGCGCGAGCAGCACGGACAGGCGACGCAGGGCGAGACGCAGGCTCACGACGCTCAGTAAGACCTCCA